TTTTAGGAATGAAGTATGGGTTCCGGAAAATTTGCGCCAAATTCTATTGCAGTTGTTTCACGTATCACGAATTAATGTTAAATAAATAATAAAGTGCATTAATTTTTCATTATAATATTAATATTAACATTATTATTAAGTAATGGTAATAATAAGTAATAAATTAGTGGGCAGCCAATCCCAAGTATCTACAACAATGATTAACCTTACCATTTGAGACATCGATCCTAAGGTTAAACCTCTTATCAGACATATATATGGTCTAACTTTGAAGCCTTATAACTCAAAACTTTTCCAATAAAAAATAAACTGATAGAAATGAAGCATAGCTCTTTAGCTTTAATTCTTTTGGTTTACTTTTTTCCTTTCTTTTTTAATAAGGAGTTATAAGCCTTTAAAGTCATGTGATTAATCATTGATAGATGTCCTCCTCCACTATAATAATATTCCACATTCCTTTTTTTTCATAGATTTAATTAGATCGATATCAGATCCAGAACATCCGTTAACTCTTGAACAATTGAATGTGACACAACTTGAGCATGTCAGTATAGATGACCAGAATAATCATATTGTGATCGAGTTCACACCAACCATACCTCATTGTTCCATGGCTACATTGATTGGATTGTGCATACGTGTTAGGTTGTTAAGAAGTTTACCAGAAAGATTTAAAGTTGATATAAATGTTAGGAAAGGGTCTCATCAGTCAGAACAAGCTGGTATGTGTGTATATATTGAGAAAGATTAATAATTAATAATCGATTAAAATCGATCGAATTGGTTAAATTAATTTTGTTATGCTAATAATAATTTTATTAAACTTAGTTAATAAACAATTAAATGATAAAGAACGAGTTGCTGCAGCTTTGGAAAATACGCATTTATTAGAAGTTGTAAATCAATGTCTTTCAACAGCAAACTTACAAAGCAATACTTTACAACAATAAACTATAACAAGTATTAATGTAATTATAGTAATAATGGTTTTATTTTTAAATTAGTATTATATTTATGTATATTATGAGATAGAGTGTGTGTGTGTTGTGCATGCACGCTATGCATTAGTGAATGTTTCTTCATTATTATTTTCTTGAATCACTAGTAGAAAGTCCTTCAACAATAAAAATAATATTATTGGTAAATACGATGACGGCATTACTATTAGTTGTATTTGTTAGTGAGATTATTACTATTATTGTTGTTGTGCGTCAGATCCAGATGTAGATGTAAATATGCTGCAGATGCACCTAAATTAAATTATATTTATATTTAGATTTATTAATTACAAAAAAATTGTTTCCTACTTTCAATTAATATTAACGGTACATACTCAAGTGAAAAATTGTTGAGCAATCATTTTTTCCCAGTTCAGCTGCAGATTCTTTCTCGTCACTATTTAAATTTGTGTGATTTCCCAAATTGTAAACCCTTAATTTTACAGAATTTAACAAATGGCGTAACAAACAACCCAAAACTTCCAG